TCACTCTCCCCCCCCCCCCCCCCCCTCTCAAGATGTTCATTTCATTTCTGCTTATGATAGGGCGCGCATAGCCCCCCATCTCATGTCATGTGCTTTAATTAGAAAAAAGAAAGTTTCATATCATGTCATGCTAACCAACTTAATAATACTGCCCCCTAAGAAGGAAAATTATCCCCCTCTTTTTTTATCAACAATTTGAGTTTGCATATCTGCTTTAATAATATCATAAATAGATTAGAACTAATCATGCAAAATCCTAGTTTTAGAGTGTGGTCTGCATGTGTTTTAAACATCACTGCTAGAAAGGAGATAGATCACTATATCTGGATTTGTTGAAAAATAAAGAAAAGGGGGAGAAAATTACTATCTCATGTTAAAGAGAGGACCGTTTCCCTGTTCATGTTAAAGAGAGGACCGTTTCCCTGTGGCTCTGTGTACTCGTGAAATATAGGTAAAGATTACTTAAACTAGTTACTACAGCTTTAAATTCAATTAGTAAAAGAGTTTACCTCGACACATATATTTCCAGCAAGGGAACCGAGCAAAGAAATCTGAGAAGATTTAGCTCATGTATTTCTCCATTTTATACGGATTACAAATAAGTTAATAACAGTGCCTTACTTTAGTATAGCACGTCATCAGTTACTTGACATTCTTCCATGCTTCTTTTCAGCAATTTATTGGAGACTTTCACCTTTTAATTTTCATTGATGCAGTTCCAATTTACTAGAATAAGTAAAAGAAACATCAGAAACAACATTTAAATCAGTATCTTACCGGATTGTTTTCGAATGAGAAAAGTTCCAATTTTCTTGGAGGTGGTTCTTTGGTGGAATTATCCCAAAACGTCATTCCTCTTCCTGCTCGAAGTAGAGTTGGCACCCATCCAGTGACCAAGGTGCTGCATAAGCAAAAATGATTTAGTAACGAGACAATAAAGTAAAAGGTGCATGAATGTTAAGTTGGTACATACTATGTAGTATTAGACAAGACTTGACATTACAATACATATATGCTTTCTTTTCTTCCTATCGACTAGTGTTGTCAAGTCCACTTTAGCAAACATGCCTGAAAGGTATACGAGTTGGTATAGACCAAACGACTATTCAGATGTAAGTGCACTATGCTATAAACTAGCAGCAGTCACAAATATATAAATTCACAAGTTGGGGACTGGCCCAAGATGAAAGTTAGATTGAAAAACCACACACTCTCTCTTTTTATTATAACTTAATCCCCTCTCCACTTCCAAATGTACTAATTTCAATTAAGAAACTGGCGAATAGACAATCCAGATGATTTGGGCCTTGAAATCTCCACCTTGTCAAAGCCCTATAGTCCTTGCTAGGCATCACATACAGCAGGACTATTGGTATTGAAGAAGTGATTCAAAGCAGATCGGCATGTTTGGCCAAGCTTAAGAAAAAGTAAAAGTTCTAAAACATGTTGGGATGTGTTACTTTTTACTTACTTTTTAAGTAAAAATATTTAAAAGTAACTCTTATCCTACTATCAGAAATTGTAAAACACTTAGTTCTATCTTTGACCCATAACAAAATTATTTATTTAAAAATTACGCATTTACTTATATGTAAACTTTTTAAGCTCAGCCTAGCATGCTGTTAGTCCCATAGTATATTTAGTGATGGGGAATTAATAAATAAATAATAGACAATCTTACTAGATTAGGAATAATTATAGTTTAATTTAGATTAGCCTATTTTAGTTTATTATGGTTTCTAGTTTGACTTAAATTAGGATTTTATTTTATGTCTTTAGTTATTTTCATACTTAAATTAGGTTTATTTAAACTCTATATAAAGAGGATCTTTATGTTAAACTTGATTATTGAATACACTCATATTTTCTCCCTCTAATTTCTTTATATTCTCTATCGTTTCTACTCCTTCTCTTTCCCCTTCTTCTACAAATCTCATTCTCATTCATTGTGTTCTGTGTCATAGTTTTCTACATCTTTACAAGGCTCTCCAAACAAAACAAAATTTCATAAGTGATAAGTAAAAACTGGTATCAAGACCAATAATGGTCGTTCAAGAATAAATTTTTTTGGAGTTTCTCTAAATGGCTCTTCATATTGAGCCATAGGTTTGAGCATGGCGGTAAAAAAGATTAAAAAGTGTTTACATGCAAATGTTTCTGTTAATTTCTTGGTAAATGAATATTAATCATACTGAAACTCTTCCTAGACAGAAATGATGTTAATGGTACACGGAGAAAAACCAACTGAAATATCTTGAGACTACACAAATTTGTCAAACAACACGTGACTCCGACAATGAAATAGTATATTGCTGATTTGTAGTGTGAACATGCTCATTGTGACCTTTTTAATAAAAATCATTTCAAAAGTACTTTCTAAGAGAGAAAAGTGAAAGGTTTCAGGTGATTGAATCTAATTATATGAATTTTTCATTTGTCAACACATCCCTTTGCTTCTGAAATTGCAGAATACATTGAAAACCTAAACAAGATTAGAAACAAAATACCTTTCCAACAGGCCAAATGAGGGACTCCTTTCTTCACCATATTGTTGAAATAAGTATTTTACAATGTCACCTACGTAAAAAATTCATATTGTCAAACAATACATGACAAGGATATAAAAGACTGTTTTATACAATCATTGAAGAAATCCCAAGATGCTGCTGCTTGAGACTAAGTGCTTGTTTGGGAGAAATTATAATGGGATTATAATGAATAGGAGTAATGGGTCCCATGAAATGTGTTGATAATCAGTGGGTAGTAGTTGTGAATGTATGGTTAAAATTAGCATTGCCTTTGACTTCAAATTATAAGGAAATTATAATTTCTCCTAAACATTCACTAAGAAGTTAAAAGGCAGAAATGTGACACAACGTGTTAGAAACTTGATCTTCACGGAAAAAAAAGTTACTTCCATATGTGGACATGATATTAAAGTAATAAAGTACATTGTAAACAATATCCTCGATATTCAGAAACTTGTTGCTTGGGGCTCTACTCAGCAAGCATCCGTCTTTCTGTGAAATTTAAACTATTGAACACAAGTGACAGATGTCTCTTTTGGGAGCTCCCGAACGATATTATTTGTTTAATTCCATAGAGATTAAGGAAAACGTTCATATTTGGAACATGTTAGATACAGTATGTGTTGGAAGGGAAGATCAGCTTCTTACTTACTGCTTTCATACATAGAAATTCCAGTGTTGGGGTCAAAAAGGAAAGGAAACCTACAAAAGATCACAAAGTGAAAGGAATATCAAACCGTGAAGGGTGATTTCACAAATAGATAATTGTATTACTGAAAGACCTCATCTGTTGGCTTTTGGATCTATGTTGGACAAGGTAAATACAAGGACATAAAATTTATTCTGGTGTTGCGTACTAAAAGAACCTCAAAGTTGATCATGCAATTTCAGAATTGTGAGTGTATGTCACCATTTTCATGGAAATGATCATCGATAATGAAAATGAATAAAGGAAAAGAATGTCAAGACACGGAAGTATTCATTGCTTTTGTTTTGTTGATTAGTACTCATAGGTCAGTATATATCATTATAAGAAATACATAGGTTGGCATAGTCTTTGTCATCACTCATGAGTATAGCTTCATACTAAAATTCGAAGATAACACTACTTACTGTTCTCTGCCACCTAGTCTTCTAACCATTTCCCTGTGTCTTACCGAACCCTTTGGGCATGGATAGATCTGCAAACCATATAGAATTTGAGCCAGAAAACAAAGTATTTACAGATATTAACAAAGTAAAAAACTAATGAAGAAGTGTTTGTCGCTAAACACAAAATTTCATAGTATTACAACTTAATTAGGTTATCACTGCAGGAATTAATGATGTTCCACATCAGGCTAACCATGAAGACTCCAATTTTTGGGGAACTCATATGGTGAACAACTGATCAGCTCATGCGGCTAATAGACTGACTCCATGAAATTACATAAAGTAAAAACTTAATTATGACAGAAGTGCAAGGCAGAAACCCTAAAACGGCTCGATGTGATTTGTTTGAGTAAGAAACTAGGTTCTGATTAAGATGTTCCACAGAAAAACCTAAAAAGTTAAGCCTCTGTTAGGGAAAAATATATAAAGGGCTTAATTTATAAATATATAGAAATGAGTGATGGATAGGTGAATAGTACTTATAGGTCAATCGGAATGTGTGGTTGAAAACGAAGTTTGACTATTTATAAACCATTTATAAATTGGCCAAAAGAAGCTAAATCGATCAAGTTTAAGGATATGCAACCAATTAAGTAGATTGAAGTCCTATCTTCACAAAGCCACGAGAATCTGTCAAAGAATATCGTTAAAAGAATATGCTTCAAAATGAACTTTGCAATTTGAGAATCTTCTACAGTGTTGTTATTCAGGCACTAGATTTTCTAGTTATCCCTTCTATCTGTCACTCGAGAAGTTGTAAGATAGCACCATCATCACATATCTGAAATGAAAGTGATTTTAATGATTTATTGTTAATTTTGTGATCCCATCCACGAGAGAAAAATTTATGGAACCGCAAAATGGCAGCTAAAATCAGGATTTTACTTATTTCCTTCCTTGTTTATATATTGGGAAGTATATAACCATATATTTTATTTCATTTCTCTGCCACTTTGAAGCTTGAAATGTATCTGATATCTGAAACAAATGTGGTATATCAGAGCTGACATAGATCCAATGCATACTTTGAGATCGATGTTTACACCTTAAACTCATATGGATCAAAATCTGTCATCAACTCTAGGAAGAAATATGGAACGTTCAACTTGATTATCTAACCTGTAGCTTTGTGTTCCAAGAGAAACCTATAATATTTTGTGGGTAAGACACTACGACTCCTTGCATCACAGGGAGTTAGCTAGTAAAATCTTCTAGTTCCCGAAAGAAATCAGCAACCAACCATCATCTACCACAAGAATGATGGTTTCCCAAGACCAGATTATATGTATCATCAATCACTATATCTTTCTCTAGACAATTTCCTGCAACTTATAGAGTAGACTGTAGCATTTCAAATTCATAAGTAACATCGTATTCTTAAAGAGGAAAATAAGGAGTCACCCTCTGGCCTTTCTTTCATTATTCTAAGAAGTCACCTCCAAAGGTAACTTATCCTCCCGAGCCAATTTACAGATGACTAAGACTTGGAAGCGATAGAACCTGATGAAAACTTAAAATAAGTGTTCACCAGATCCAGTGTAGAAGCCTTTTTGCGAGGCTCATGTCTAACTGAAGCAAAGGGGGGAAATTTCTGTTTACATTTCTCTTTCGGTTGATTATAATAAGTATAAATATGAACAAATTTCACCCTAAGTGTTGTTTGGAATGAAAAATAAGGAAAGATGCTATGCGAACGTAGATGTTAACACACCTCTACAGAAAGATCAAGCTCGGTTATGGCTTCTCTAACCCTCCTGCAAAACGGGCATGCCTCTGTTGACAATCCCTACAATCTTTAACTCCAAGATCAAAGCAATAATGGCTGAAAGATTACATTTTATTCCAGTGTTCCATGTGACAATTTATCTTTTCCATTTACTGTGTTATCGAAGTCAGTTATAAGTGAATCAAGAACTCACTAATTATTCTTAGCAATATGTATTTAATTTATTTAGCCATTTAGTTATCATCAATATACATGTACATTGGACATATTCATTTCACATGTGTGCTTTCATTAATGTATGAATTCCATATTATTAATTCTCAATTAATTAACATTCACATTCATTTAATTAATAATCATCTTCATTTATGTATTTCAATTTTACTATTTCTAATTAAATTAGAATTTCACATAAAAGAATACATTTCATTATTCACGTCCATGCATAACATCCCATTTTACTTAATTGGAATTAAATGTCACATCAAGTGAATCATTTTTTGACAATTTTAACCCTACTTTAATTCAATTATTTCAATAATACCTTACTTTTTATTTTTTGATATGTATTTAATTTATTTAATCATTTGGTTACCATCAATGTATATGTGCATTTAACATATTCATTTCACCCGTGCTTTCGTTAATGTATTAATTAACATTCACATTCATTTGATTAATATTCATCTTCATTTATGCATTTCAATGTTATTAATACTAATTATAAGTTAATTAGAATTTCACATTCAATAATACATTTCATTATTCACATCCATGTATGCTAATTAACATCCAGTTTTACTTAATTGTAAATTAAATAAATGATTTAACATTCTTTGTCACGTATATATTCACTGGTATTAATTCTAAATTAATTAACACTCACGTATATTCAAATATTATTTTTACACCCCTTATAAAGTATTTCATAATAATGTGCAATGCTCGTTTAACGTCGACTAGTATTACACAAATGACATATAAAAGCAGAAGGATATTATCTTAGTTACATAATCAAGGACTCACCAAATTCAAAGAGTTGCAAACGCAGTGGAGGATCTACTTTCTTTTGGCTGCTTAAACTATTAAACTGTGATCTTGATCCCCATGGAAGCCTTGCCAAAGAAGCTAACGACGATGTCGTTTCCTGTTATCAATAAACAAGTCTCAGGCATACGGGAAAACATATAATCTAAAATGAAAAGAAACAGAAGTCTCTAAAGTGCATTTAATTAAACTGCTGAAATCATTGAAAGTTTAAACCAATTGGACCGGATAGTGACAGAATAGTTTTTTTCCTGAGCAATCCATTAGAAATGGTGCAGACTCTTTTAGTCAAGTAGGGAAAGAATGTAAAAGAAGATTTGAGATCAAAATGGCGGCGAGAAATTGCAATAAGGGCACTCCATCTAAATACTTCGTAAACCACTCATCCAAATATCACATGAGATGGATGTAATTGAAGTAGCCCTTTCTCAGTGCATCCTAAGTCCTAACAAATCCTTCTAGCAATAAATGTGGTAGTGACTAAGCCACAAAATGAGAGAAGCAAGACTCCTTCCATGTCGAACCATCTCATTCAAAGCATAAGGTATCAGAGAGAGGAGATATCTATTTTTCTAAGCTTTATTTCAAGTTGCCCACTCACTTGCATGCCAGTTTCATTTTCTTGACATGCATAATTTTTATGTAAGAAGCAGTGACAAGGTTTGATATCAATATCTTTGCGTGCCATTATGCCATTTGAACCACCTCATCTAAATGCTTATGTTGAGATTATTTATTTAAATTTTGTCTCACACAGCATCTTGAATAAATAAACATACTTGTACCATATTGACTATATTAGGAGTATGAAAAGTTGAAAACAAATGAGTAGTGCACAATTAGGTACAACAACTTTTCTTAGCCCCCTTATTCACAGCTGAACAAACTTGAAGGTATAATTCAAACTAGCATCAAATTGACAAACTTCTTTAGCACTAAAAACTAGAATTATGTGTACCTATTTTTCATAGATATTAGCTTCATCAGATGACTATCTGGGGCACCATATAAGAACATATACACCATATAGGCAAAATGATTCCTATCAGAAAATTCATAACTTCTTTTTCCTTATTTTTCTCTTATGTTATAAGAATAAATGAAAAGTACTTTTTCACTTGGATGAGTATTGATAACAAGTGTGCAATACCTCCAGTAGGTAGTTCCTTTCCCGAGAGGGATCTCCAGCCTGCAAGAAGACACCAAACATACTAAATGGCAGAAGATATACCAAAAAGGGTTTTGCTATATGTAACAGCCCTACCCTACCAAAAAACAACATAACATCTATGACCTTAAATTTCATGTAGTGGAGATTGCAACAGTGTGCAGAGAAACTTCTAAGACTGGCATTTAATTTGAAAACCGAAATTTTGAAGAAACTTATGACCAAAATATGTGAAAACTAGGATTAAGATAGCACAACATTAAGGACTTCAATTAAGAAATAACTTAATTGCACGCTACAACTGCAAATTATCATAATTTCAGGCTTTAATACTCATACTTATTATAAAAATAAAATACTTACAGAAAAGAGTTTTAGCAAGGGGCATAGAAAGGTCAAGAAACTGGTAGATGAATTACTGAAGCCATTGCCAAGATCAGCATCAATTTCCTTGGAAGCAAATTGTGCTCCATTTTCATCCCGAGAAATCTTTTCCTCCTTTTCTTGGTTTAAAGAACATCTTGCCCCGAATCTGTTTCTTGTGCAAGAACCCAAATTCTTATTTTTCTTGGAAATTAATAGAGCTGATGAATTGAAAAGAGTAGAAAAGTGAATTTGAATTCTTGGAGAATTATTATAATTACTTATGTTAGAGTAGTAATTGTTGTGGGATACTAATGGCGGGTTTGAAGGAAGAAATGTATAGGAATACATTGTGAATGATATGAGTGGTCATGGGAAGTGGAAGCCGGAAGGCCGTGAAAAATGAGAATCGTATAATCTTAGAGAGATAAAATTACAAACGGAATCCTCAATCTATGCAAAGTAATAAGTAGGCATTCAACATTTTTTTGTTATATTTTGATCCTTATATTTTGATGTTATAGTATTTCTCAATAAACAATTTTCATCCATTTAGATCTATGAAAAATAAAAAGTGGGCATTCAAAATTTTTTTTTTTTTTTTTAATATTTGGATTATGTTTTGATGTTATAGTATTTCTCAATAAATAATTTTCATCCATTTAGACATTTAAAAGTCACTTGATTTTAATGAAAAATAAGTAAAGAAAAAGGCAAAAAATAAAAAATAAAAAATCACACTCCAAATTTTACACTGATTCAATCGTCGTTACTCTTTCATCCTAGCATTTACTCAACAATCAACTTCCGCTAGCTCCAAACCTTTTTTTCCTCCACTTGCAAATCATTCTAGCTCTTTCCCTTTTCTTCTCATGACCACCTCCTTCAACTTGTCCCCCTAATCCCTCCATTTTTTGCATCTCTCTTACGATTGCATTTTGGGGTATAGAAGGAGCGATCGGAAGGGTGAGACTTGAGAGGTTATTTTTTAAAATATTTCTCAATTCTTTTGTTTATTATTTATTTTAATTGAATATGTGAGGGTAAAATTATCTATTTAGCCCCTGTTTAGCGAGAATTAAAATTATAATTTTCCTAGATTTTTATAAAAGTTGAAATGTGTAGTAGAAAAATTGTATATCTCATAAGATATATTATTAAAATTAATTATTAATTTAAATTTAAATTAAAATCTGAATTTTAATATCCACCAAACTAAATATGACTTGCTAACTATCAATTGAACAAGAACCCATATATGCAAAGTCCTAAGTCCTGCAAATGTAAAAGTTTTGTGATCCATATATGCAAAGTCCTAAGTCCTAAGTTTTGAGATTGAGACCTTTCAAGCGTATTGTCCCAAGCGATATCTTCTTTCTTGAGGAATGGTGCGTAAAGTTAAGGGTGTCATCTACATAAACTTATGTCCCCCGCCCACATTGGAATTCAATTATTCAAAACAATTATTTAAAATTTAAATTAACATGCAAAATTACGACTAAATTACGCCATTGTTTTGAGTTTATAACTTTATGTCTTTCTTATTTGGATTTTTGCACTTTGTCCCCAACTTTTAAAAAGGTAACAAACAAACGAAAACCCGAATCTATGTAAAAAGTACAAATTAATCCAACTTAAAATAATTAAAAACATATTAACAACAATTTTTTTTTTCAAAAATAAAAAAAATAAAAAAAATAACAATTCATCTTTTCCAACCCACCAACAATCATTGGCTAATCACCACATCCACAAATACAATCACGCAATCGTTAACAATACCATTGCAGTTTTATACTAATATGTTACTCAGTAATATATACATTTTAAAGTTGATTTAAGTTATAAAAGTAAAACAAAAATAAATTGAGTGAAAACAAAAATAAAAATTAATGATGTGGACTGAAAATTTCTATCAGTATTCATTTAAATGTATTTTTTATAATTTTATGTAAATATTCATTAAGAGTAAGTTTTAGAATTTTATGTAATTAAAATTTTATTTCACTTGGAGCGCAGTAACGGTCAATGAATACTGTTGATTGCTAAATAAGGCGCCAACCAAGTGGTTTGGCGTTCTCGCCGTGCATCGCACCTAGGTAGCACATTGACGACACCTAGACGCGCCTTTTAGAACACTATTTTTTCTTGCAGTTTGAAGGAACATTTTTAGAAAAGAGATATCAAGAGACATAGAAGAAGATTCGAGAAAGAAAATAGAAGATGTCTGTCGATCGAGATGGTAGAAGGAAAGTGTTGATTCAAGCTCATGTTTAGGAAGAGGTAGCGAGGAGATTAGAAAAAGTACAATGTATATACTAGCTTGCAATCCATTGCTAGATGATTGTAAATATTAACTTTTAGAAAATAAGCAATTATTTAATTTATATTAGTTTTAAAGTTTATATGAAATTTTTGTTTATTATAGTGCTTGTCGTAAATTATATAAGTTGTAAAAGTCACTTATTTCAAACGATTATGTTAGACAACGTGACTTTAAACATATAATATATTTTTATAAATACGTACCGATGTTAAACATTACGGATGCTAAATGTTAAGGGAACCCATGTCAAATAGAATGATTTTGCTGTATCCAAACTAATACCTATCCAAGCAATTTCATGAATAAAATACGACCAATCAACCAACCAACAAAACTACTTGTCATAAATAACATCTTGTTGTTACATCGAAATATATAAATGTTGACTAATCCGACTAACATTGAATATAAAAGTATTAACCAATTTGAGATGGTCCTATAAAAGATAGAACCAAATCTTTATATGATATCAAATTTATTAAACTTAATCAAAACTTGTATTTATTCTATTTTTACAAATAGAGACACTATTTTCCTAATAAAAATATGCATGTTATCTAGATGCCTATCCATGGGACAAGTTTAGAATCACGCTTGATAAATTGGCTCTTAGTTGGATTTGAATATGTGGCATGACCTAGTGAAAAAATTACAAAATAGTAGGACCATTTGTATAGGGTGTATTTAAAATTTTATTTATCGTATTTTGTAATATTATATTTTACGTGTTACATTAGATTGTGGTAACAAAAAAACTAAATGTATTCGCACTAGAGATTTAATAGCTAGACTATATTTTAATTGTATAAAAGGTTTATGACATTTACACATTATTATATTTATGTCTCAAACTTTTTTCATCTTATTCTTATTCTTAAATTAACATAAATTGTTCCTAATTATGTTTTTTCTCAAAAAATTTCTTTAAGAGAGAATAGAAATACTCATTTTCCATCAATAGTCACCTGTAATATTTTTACAATAACTTGACCATAGTAGCAAACATAGTAGGCACATAGCCGTGGACAACAAAACACAGTTAGGGCCTGCTAGGTAAATAAGTACAAGATTGAATTTGACACTATTCTCAATTATTATTATTTTTCTTAACAATGTTCAATAATTTTACAAAGAATTTCTCGAATAGTTTTGCACTATCTGATAATAGGCATTTTACGTGGTATGAAGTACTCAGAGCACAATTTAATTTTTTTCGTTGATCCCCTTTACTGAGAGAGTACTCGGAGCACAATTATTTTAATCTTTTCGTCGGTGATGTTTAATAATATTGTTCAATCCCTTCATCGAGAAATTACGCATAGCACAATTTTAATCTTTTAGTTGATGGTGTTCAATATTGTACTTTACCGAGAGATCACCATTTCTCAATAATACAAATGTGTTTATTGTGGAAATATCAACGTTTGCAGATTACTTCAACTATAAATAACCACATCTGCCACCACAATCTATATATTCCACCACCACAAATGGAGGTTTCTTTGGTGTTTTCAGTCTTGACTTGGCTAGTTGCCTTTTGCTTTATTTCAAATATAATCCATTATCGTCGCCACAAACAGAACCTTCCACCAGGCCCTAAACCGTGGCCTATCATTGGCAACCTAAACCTACTTATTGGTTCAATCCCACAACAATCTCTCCATTTATTATCCCAAAAGTATGGAGAATTAATGCAACTTAAATTTGGTTCATATCCAGTTTTGGTTGCTTCATCACCTGAAATGGCCGAACAGTTCCTTAAAGTACATGACACCGTCTTTGCCTCTCGGCCTGCACTTGCTGCTGGTAAATACACCAGTTATAATTACTCGAACATGACTTGGGCGCCGTATGGATCATATTTTCGACAAGCTCGAAAAATTTATCTTACAGAGATATTCAATTCAAAACGACTCGACTCCTACGAACATATTCGTGTGGAGGAAATGCGTTATTTTCTTTCTCGTCTCTATGCTCTCTCAAGTAAATATTGTTGCAGGTTGACTCAAATCTTATCACATGAATCGTAATATATTGAGAACAATAGTTAATTTATTATTATTTATGCTCTCATAGGAAAGCTGATTTTGCTCAGAGAACAATTATCTCGTTATAGTCTCTCGATTATAACCCGGATGGTATTAAGCAACAAATACTTCAGTGAATCAAAATGTGATTATCAGGGTTCCATTATAACCCTAGATGAACAACAAGGGTTGTTAGACCAATGGTTTTTTCTTAATGGTGTGGTAAATATTGAAGACTGAATACCCTGGTTAAGTTTCTTGGACGTGCAAGAATATGTTAAGCAAATGAAGGATTTGTACAAAAAATTTGACAGATTTCACGAATATGTTCTTGATGATCACTTGGCTAAAAGGGATGCAAATGGCAAGGATTTTGTCCCTAAAGATATTGTAGATGTTTTATTGAAGCTCTCTGAGGATCCTAATCTTGAGGTTAAATTCACTAGGGATTGAGTCAAGGGATTAATGCATGTATATGTACTTAATTTCACCTTACGTTTGGCTTACATTATTGGCATGATACAAAATTTTAAATATTTTTTATAAAATTGAAGAAGAGAATATTGAACGAGGAGTACTTGTTATTCTACTTACATTTTAATTTTTATCTAAATCAAACATCACTATATTCTTATTCGTATGATACATAGATGAAGTGGCAAGTGACAAATACATCTTTTCATGTGACAAATTCTTGTTTTTGTAAATTCTAACAGGACCTGCTAGCAGGTGGCACAGACACCTCGGCGGCAATAGTTGAATGGACATTTCACGAAATTATTAAAATACCACACATAATTGAGAAGGCAATAGAAGAGCTTGACAGAGTTATTGGAAGAGAGAGATGGGTGGAAGAAAATGACTTTTCTAAATTACCTTACATGGAAGCTATAATCAAAGAAACGTTAAGATTACATCCAGTGGGTCCACTGCTAGTCCCACATTTCACCATTGAAGACTGCAATGTATCAGGTGAGACGTTAATCATCTCATTTAAAAATTTATATTATTAGAGACTAGATACACTTATTTATTTAAATTTTGTCTTTAATGTACCCCATCGACATTCAAAATCCAATTTTCAACGAAAATCTAATGCATGCACAATTTTCGGATAATGACTAGACTTAGACATACTACTATTCTAGTATTACTAGCTCTAATATTTTTTTGAACCATCATATATAAAAATTTAAATTATTTGAGTTTTCTCATCAGTGCTTCCCTAGTGCAGGTAAAATATTCATTTTTTTTTTTCATTAAATCAAATTTATGATGTCTACAATTTTTAATTAACAAGTTGTGACTCAATAATTTTACCGACTCAATAATTTTTAATTAACAAGTTGTGACTCAACTAATGCGAGCCATGTACAATTTTAATAAATAATCATGCTAATATACATAATGATTGATATAATGCCACGTGGTAACCTATCGTTGAACTGTTTAAAATACAGTCAGTTTTTTCATCAAATCACATATTGTCAACATCTATTATGTCAACTATTACGGCACCTATTTCTTGACAAAGTAGCATTATTCTTTTATAAATGGTCACATGACTTGAACCTAGTTCCCTTTACTAAACCTAGTACGTCAGTCAATCATTTTATGTAAAATCTTAAATTTTTAGTAACAAACATATTTATCCAAATTTTATTTTTTCAACAGGTTATGACATCTCTAAAGGAACAACAGTCTTCATTAATGTATGGAGCATAGGCAGGAAAGGGTTTATGACCCTACGTGGCCTTAAATACTTGCCAGAGAGATTTTTGGGTAAGAAAATTGATATGTTAGGTCAAAATTTCGCTCTATTGCCATTCGGGTCGGGTTGAAGGAGGTGCCCAGGAGACAACCTCGGACTTAAGATTGTTCGTTCAATGTTGGCCAACTAATTGCGTGGATTCAACTGGAAATTACATAAGAATATGAGGCCTGAAGATGTATGCATGGAGGAATTTTATCGATTGACTACGCATCCAAAAGTGCCGCTTGAAATGATCACAGAACCCCGTCTTCCATTTCACTTGTACAACACTCAACAGTATTAATAATAAAAAAACTAAATATTTTATATAATACACATACATTATCCAGTCTTGTTTCTTATTCGAAATATGTTTCTTTTTCCAAAAAGTAAATGTGTAGCGTGTTGCGTATATATGGGCAGACCCGAGGGTCTGGGGGCATATGCCCCCCAACTTTTGAGGTTTTTTTTTTTAATTAATAAAATAATGTTTGGTATCGATTGAAATATAAATTTTAATTTAAATCAAAGTTAACAATTAATTTTAATAACATGTTTCATAGAATCCATAACTATTTAACTTTTATTAAAATTTACTGAAAATTTGATTTTAATCTCCATCGAACATGGACAAAATCACAATAAATTTTAATTTTTCTCATTTTCTCTCGTCTTTTAACAAAATTTTAACTCTCCGTCAAACAAGGGCGAAATATTGCATTCTTAATACCATTTCAAAATGTTTACGGTCTAGTTTTATACGTCGTTAATGACGTACGAAACGATCAATTGTAGCAAGTGTTACGACTTGTCAAAGTAAGTCATTCAAAATTAGTATTTCAAAAATTTCGATAATATGCTAACTTTAAATTTTTTTCGAGAATCGTACGCTAATCGAATTTACAAATTGCTTATATCATCTCAAAACTTATTTCGAGAACCACATTATAGGTATATCAAATAATTCAAACAGATATCGAAAATTGTTAAAAATGCGTTAAATGTGAATTTTAAAGAAAGAAGTTTAATTTGCATTTTCTTAAAAAAAATCAATTCTTTCATTAACATTTATTATTTTTGCAATACAAATTTCTCAATATAATTTTTATCATTTTATATGGAATATGACATAAATTTTTTTCGAAATTTTTCATCTGAAAGTCATATTCCCTGTAAATTTTCAAGTGTAAAATTATATGGGGTATGATTTTTTTTGAACGTAAATTTTCAATTGTAAAATTTCTCCCAATTTCTTTACAAGTTCGATTGTGTCCCCAACTTTTAAATTCTGCGTCCATCCCTGTGCGTATAGATTTTTTATTCAAACTTGGGTAAGTTTGGACACGCTTTAATAACGTATTTTTTTTATTTTATATTTTTTAAATCCTTACGTATTGGAGACGTTAGGACATTTGAAGAAGAAAAGTTTTATTAGTTTTAAACTCTTTTAAAACTCATTTGAATAAAAGACTTTTTTTTACATAACCTTTTTAAATAAAAAGTAACCGTGTTTTAAGATAAGAGATAACTACACATTTTACACTTATTATTTGAAAATAGATATAATAACATTCAATATATAATTGACAACTAGAGTTTTAAAATTAATTCACAACTAAT